CTACTTAATATGTGCCCAGGAGCCTTAATTTATGCACTCAATGTCAATGGCACCTAGCTATGTATATATTCTGTTTGCCAAAGATAATTAATGCTAAACATTTAGATTAAGTGTTTCTTTTTTCCTTCCTTTTTATCAAATTTAATAGTTGATGAAGTTTGATAATATTACACGTCTATACAAACATTTTAAGTACTTTTAGATATGCATGCCGTCAATATGAAGCCCCACTAAACTTCATAATGTACTTGTGATTACATACTACCATGGATGTTGACATACATATATATGACACGGATTCATTAATTACATAAATTTTATTGTATTAATCAATTAATGTAACCGAAAAATATGTTGATCATATCCATGGATGTTGACTTTTAAGACTAGCTCGCGAAGGAGGGGGCAGATGCATGATCATGCAATTACAAACACGTTTGGTCTTCATCAAGTTCAGCATGCCGCGTGTCCAATGAGATTGGAATTGGATCTCTTAGTTGACTGACTATTTTAATCTGCCATATATGACGTATTTGTGTTTGATGTCAGTTTAAATGCTAAATTTGTTAGAAGAGCTTGAGAGCTTCTCATAGATAAAAGTATTAGAATGGTGTGAAATAAGTTTATTTGGGAATAATTTAACATATCAAGGTATAATTTTATCTCTTGGCTTGTAATTTTGAATCGTTTATCCATTAAAGATTGATAAATTTGAATGAAAAGAAATATCAATATTGATTATATGTTGTGTGAAAATGTCGACCAAGATCGGAATCATTTATTTTTTTGAATGCTCATACTCTAAAACTGCGTGGAATGCTATTCTTCTTCAATGTGAATTTTATAGAGTAATTGATAGTTGGAGTATAGAATTACAATGGGTATAGAGCATTTGTAAAAAAAAAAAAAATTTCAATCTATTATTACCAAATTGGCATAGAATGCAACCATTTATAGTTTGTAGAAACAAAAAAGCTGTAGAATCTATGGTAAAACTATTTCTTCTCTACATGATGTGACTAGATGAATTTTTCAAATTGTTCGTTGCAAGTTACATAATTCTAAGTTTCTAATTGAAACAATGCTTAATTCAATATTTGAGTATTTTTTTTAATGAATATTGTTATAATCTGTTTTATATATTTGTCATGGATTCATACTTTATAATAGGATAAACTCCTATTTGTATTTTTTTATGAATAAAAAGTTTCATTTAATAAAAAAAAATTAAATTAATAGATCAAGTATTTAGTCGAGATAAGGACTAATAATAATATAATTCAATGTCCTTATATCCTTAAACCACAAGTTAAGTTGCTACTAGCAAGTTGTTATATACATGCCAAAGCAAAAGCAAAGTCCCATGACAAACCCTACCATTTAAAGCAAAGCCAATTGGGGGTTATTGAAATCCATCAACCCATCTCAAATTGGACATATCTAAAGAAACTATAAATATATAACAGTTAACATTTCATAAAATTTGAGCAAATTAGGATATATAGAGGTATACATAATTGTCTCATATGCAGATTGAATGGCATTAACAACCTGTATATGCCAATAGTAGACAAACCTTAATTAAAAATTGAAATGGAGCACTGCTTAGGAATAATAACAAAATTAAATGTTACTTAAATCATAGTTCCGGAGCTTATCGTCTCATCGGAGTAACCAAGATTGACGGCTAAGTCTAAGCTTGTGGGCTGCGGCTTGAGTGGGGCCCTCGCGTTGACAAGGGACAAAACGTTGACCCGAATAACCAAAAAAACTAAAAGATCTGAACTTATTAGTATTCATTTATTGTATACTTATACTTATTTACACTGTGGATGATCACTCAGTGGTACTGTGTTGCCCTCTCACCCGTTTATCTTGCCCTTTCTCCTATCACAGCCGTTAGATTTTTTCGATTATATATTTGGTAAAGTTCGTTTGTTAATTGGTATTGCTTTATAACATAGATTTCTTTCTTGCCATTCTGCCTCACATGCTTTTCATTTGCTCTCCTAAGAGCATTTAATGCTCTTGTCTGCTAGTATCTTTTCTCTATTCTTTTAAATAATTTTTGCTTTTCTTTTCAATCTTTTCTTTCTTGATTTGTGTTCCTCAACCCCATTCATTTGGTTTTGACAACTAAATTCTTTTTCTTTTCTGCCTTTCATGTTTTTTATTTCCTTTGCTAAGAGCATTTAATGCCCCTGCTGGCTATCTTCTTCTCTGTTTTTAAAATAATATTTGCTTTCTTTCATTCTTTTTATTTTTCTCGGTTAGTGTCTCTCTACCTCCATTCATTTGGTTTTGGGAACTAAATCTTTTTTCCTTTCCTTTTGATTTTTGATCGTTTTTATTTTTTATTTTTTTGGTTCCTCTAGTTGATTGTGTGTTGTATTTTCCTGCTTTTAGTTCCATCAAAGCGGGATAGGTGCCTTCTTTTTTTTTTTTTGGGTTTCCTTTCTTTGCTTTTGGGGCCAGTACAATCATCATTTTCTCTCATTTTTTGCGCTCTCCCTTCTGTGTCTGCTATTTTTTAATTATGCTTGGCTGTCCTTCTTCAAATTTTCTTTCAAGTCATTTCTTTCTCTACTTCTTTACGCTTTTTATTTTCCTTTCAGAATCTAGAGGAAGTGATGCTTTTGCGTGCGGAATTTTGGATTTTTTGTTGAAAAAGGGGAGAGTTGTGAATCAGCAAAAACCACATGCACTTAAACAAAATCGGATTCACTGTTTACTATCGAAATTTAGTACATGTTACTCAAAATTTAATTCAATGATTTGAATTATATAGTAGAAATAAGAGTTGAGTTGTTAGTATTGTTATCGTGTTCTAAATTATATTTATTCCAAATGATTGGCCTAATGTTAAGGGAATTTTTTTTTTATTATTTGACTTTTCAGGTAGAATTAGCATTTAAAGAAATTTATTGTAAGTTCTTTTTATTTGACATTTTAAGTTCAAACTTCAGAGTTAGCACAAAAAAAATAGCCTTAATATATATATCTATATATTTTTATATAATACTCAAAGTTTCTAGTTACATCATATTTATCTCTGAAAATATTTGAAATTTTTAATTTGTTATTCTAGAAAATGTTTTTAGGCAAATAAATTTTTTTTAACCCAAATGCTCCTACTTAAAATTTAATTAAAAAAAAAAAGGGTCATGTGATTTGAAGTATTTTTTTTTCATGATTGAAAAATTTTATCGAAATGATAGATTGAATATTTCAAAAAAAAATTAAAAACAAATGGAATGCTTTTAGTATTATATAAAGAGATATAGATATATTTATCAAAAAATTTATTAAATTCCTTTAATTCATCGTATAGGGGATAAATCCGTAACATCTTTCAAAAAGATATTTAGTTACAATTGACACAAAGGAACTAAAAATATTCTAACCATTTAATAAAAAAAAAATTATTTAAATATTACAATGAAATTAAAAGAAGTGGGGGTTTTGAATAGTGACTTTCATTGTTCATAAACTCACAGATCACTATTCGTTTAATGTAGCTTAGGTTTTTTTTTTTTTTTTTTTTTTTTTTTTTTTTTGTAATTTTCAAGTTCTTTTATTTTAGTTCCTAAAATTTTTAACCTCCTAACCGATGCACTACGCATGCTTTTTTTTTCCTTTGATTTTTTCCATCAATTTATATTATGGAACCAATTTATTTGAAATAAAATAATTAAAATAATTTTTTAAAGGAACCAACCAATTATTCAAATACAATTTTCATGCTAATTTTATTGATTATTTTGCAAATATATAAAGATCAAATGCATATACTTTTTTTTTTAAAAAATCTTCTCACCAACATTAAATAAGAATAAAATATATTTTTTTCATTAATTAATTTTTATGCAAGTCTATATATTAATTGTAATTTTATTTTTAGGATACATTCTTATAAAAAATATATTTTTAAAGTATTTATTTTGAATTATTAATTAATATTTCAGGTTTAAATTTTTATAAGTTTTTATTTAAGAATCCATGAATAAAGAATAAATCATGTTTTTTTTAAATAGAAATTTTATGAAAAAAAAGTAATAATTAAATAAAAAAATTAATGAAAAAATTATAAAGCTTTAAAATGATTTTACTTTATCCGCTTGCAACGTTTCATGGATAATTTCTAATATTAATTTTCTCATCAACATTAAATAAGAATATTTTTTTCTTTATTTGTTAATTTTTATAAAAGTTTATCGATTAATTATAACTTTATTTTTTAAAATAAAATATTATGAAAAATATGTTTTTAATTTTTTTTCATTCTTGATCAATATTTTAATTAAAATTATTATAGTTTTTTATTTTAAAATCGATCCATAAAGAGGAATGATTTATATTTTTTTTAAGTAAAAAATTTATGAAAAACATTAAAAAAATAATTGAATAAAAAATTATAAAATTATAAAATAATTTTATTCTATCAAACTCGCAAATCAGCTAATAAGATCTAAATTAGATGGAAATTGATCTTTTGTTATCAAAAAGACCCAACATACGTAATCAAGAGCAAGCAACAGAATTAATAAGTCTCTGATATTATTATATTTTTTAAAATGATTTGTCTGCATTATTAAAAAGTTTATTCGAACTTGATGCATATCAATTCGTGATGCATTTGACAGCCGTGCTGAAAACTGCAGCTCAAGACATCAACGAGAATCTTTCACGCTCACAAGCTCCTGAACTGCAGGGCCGCACAGCAACAACAATCTGTTTCCACACTAATCCTCGTAAATATTACATGTAAGATCACATGAGAAAAGTTCTCTTGTTTATTTTTAACGTCAAAACTTTGGATCATCAGGTTTTAGCAAATTACACATATGCCTTAGGTAGGGCAACAAAAAGAGAAGCATATGTAGGATACATAACTGGGTTTCTTGAAAGTTTTCATCATATAAATGCACAGTTTATTAAGACCACACTTTCCATATTCAAGGTGACTCAGGTCCATACCGCTGCGCAAAGCAGGCACACATTTATGTAATAACAGTTGGTGCAGATCGGCCAGTGAATTCCTGCATCTTAGAAAGCCCGAGAGCAACCGCCACCTGCAAAGAGGTCCATAAAAATCAGCCTCAAGAACTGATGAGATAAACAAAGGACAATGAACTATAAATAAGATATGGTATAATACAAGAGGAGCAAGTGCATCTTGTGAATCTCTTCCAGTTTTTGATGAATCCTTCTCGTATTGCTCAATGTAGAGTCTGATGGTTGCACCTTCTGAACCAGTTCCCGAGAGGCGGAAGACCTGCACCAATATTCATGGAGATGATAATCAAGAAATTCTTTACTTCAAGCAGGAATACTTATGTAATAATTAAATCATTCAGGATATTCCAGGTTAATCAAACAAGGAATCAATTGCAATGCACACTCCCAAAGATAAACACAATCAAAGACTTCAAACAGAAGTACAATAGTTCAATTCCACAAGTTAGTTCTTGTCCTATTCCAAAGACCTTACTCAAGCTGAAAGCTTTTCAAGAGAATTAGCTTACCAGTCTTGAGCCATCCTGAAATAAATATCGAATACCCTGGTGCTTTGAAATGGAACCATCAACGGGATCTTTGTACTCAAACTCATCAGCATGAACAACCTTTGACACATCAGACCGTATACCGCTGACAATCCTGTATAAATAAACATTGCAAGTTCCTCAATTATTTATTTAAAACCAAAATAAGATGGATGATATATAAACTAATCATTATTCCTTTTTGTATCATTTCTTAAAATCGATCTATTTTGAATCAAATTCAACCATTAATTAAATGAAATTAAGCTCTTCCCCCCCCCCCTCTTTTTTTGTGTGAAAAAAAATCATTATATAAGATGAATTATGCAGGAAAAACTCACTAAATCAATTTCAGGGATTAAGTGGGCAGAAATATAGAGTAAATCAAATAGAGATAACTACTGCAAACCCATCATTCGTGAATATTTAAGCAATTCAGTATTAATGCTCAAGTCATCAAATCTAAGTCAAAGGCAGTCAACTCCAGCTCTTATGTCAGAGATCTCAAATTTAGCTCCACTTTTGTTGCGAAGTTTCTGGTCCATTTCACCAACAGCATGGTGATGCTTCATTATGCAAGGCATTTATTTTTTCCTCAGAATGAGATAACTCTAGAAAACTGCTGTAGCCCACCATCAGTTCATCTTTGCAGAGGCAGCACCGCATGTTGCTTTGAGGGTCACCCTCTCGAAACAGAAAGACTGTATTAAGCTGTAGCTCCAACCCTGCATCTCTACAAGTTCCCCAGCCTTCATCATCTTATTTTTCCTACATCAATCTCATAATATGTACATTTCTGCTCTCTCTCTTCTATTGATTTTAGCCATTCAATGCAATGACTTTAAATTTAATTATTACTTTTACTCCTTTTTTTATTAAAATAAGACTGAAATAATCACGCTTCTTATAAACATGCCCCTTAATCATACTTTTCCCACTCCATGTGCCACAAAATGATTTGATACTACCTTTTCCAATGTTCTTAAAGTTCTCGTCTTTGCACATTGAAATAATATCTACCAAAGCACACAAAATGCATCTAGCAATTTATCCACCAATTCCTACAACACTAACACCTGAAGCACGCTTCCTATTCTGATGAAAGGTTAAATACCTCCTTCCAGAAAAGCAGCAACGTTTCACCATTAGTAGTTCAAACTAAGTCATCGTATACACTACAGCATCATGTTGCAATAAGGGGCTTGTAAGGTGAACTTTGTATTTGTATAAATAATTAACACGAATCATGCTTTCTTCAAAGTCAAATTTATTAAAAAAATGCAACTGTGGCAAATCTAAGAACATGACTAGTCGCCAAGAGGCACTCAAAATTATATCCTGTACAATAATGTGTCAGCCCATGTGCACATACTCATACATACTTGACACGGTAGCACTCACCTACGATTTACATCAATGTCATCCCATCATTCTCATATTTAAGTTCATAATTTATCTTCATGAGAGCTATAGCCAAATTGTTGGCACTTCAAATTATTACACTATAAAAGGTAGCATCAAAGAAAACCATAACAAGTAGTACTTTGCACCTAGAACTGTAGGTGGAACCAAATCACAGAAAGTGAAACCCTTTGATAAATTCAAGCCCAGGCTTCACACAGCTAAGAGCAACTGAATAAAATGTAAAAGATATTATTCCATTTCTTCAAGCCAGAACCATGTTGGAATTTCAGCACTTAAAATACAAGTTGAATGTGTGTTAGTTGGTAACTTAAAATAAGAGAGAGCAGAAAAGAAGGCACTCAGTAGAATAGTTGCATCCCATTCCTTAAAAGGATTGATGACAAAGCTGGCTTGACAAAGAAATAAAATTTAATAGTATATAAACACACATACTCATTAACTTCAGCAAGGGAAGATTGCAGTTTGACCAAGTATGCCATTAGTTCCTTCGCTGCACCTGCATCAACATTCTTCAAGAACAATGTACCAGTTACAAGGCAGTCTGAGATATCCTGTTTGGAGGATGAAAACATTAGAAAACACAGTACCTCATAGTCATATCGAGTATAGTAGTGGCGACCATAGGTAGCCCAGTGGTTGCGAACTATTTCTTCAACTGTCACAAGTTTTCCACCACCAAGATTGTCTTTATTCTTGTAAGCGAGTATGGATAGCCAAGCCAGAACCGCCCAAATTCCATCCTTTTCACGTATGTGGTCTGAGCCTGTTCACAGATGCCATTACAACAAAACAGCCTGACACAACTTGATAAGAATTCCAAATATAAGAAAATTTACTAAACATGCAGAAACACAGAAGACTAACCAGTTCCAAAACTCTCTTCCCCACAAACTGAACATAAACCAGCATCCATCAAATTACCAAAAAATTTCCATCCAGTTGGAACCTGGCATTTGACCAGTGAATAACCAAATTATATGACCACACAATAGCATAGAAGGACCCATATAAACATTTGATCATGGCATGGCATACCTCAAAAAATTTTAATTTCAGATCTTTTGCCACAACGTCAAGGGCAGCTGAAGTTGGCATGCTCCTAGAAACAGTAAATACAGAAACATTATAAGAAAAAAAAAACTTCTGTGAGAAAGGCATCAAATAACAAAAGTATTTATCACCTAACCAATGAAATATGGCCAAAGGTCCAAGATATTATCAAGAATTTGACAGAAGCATTAAGTTTCTGATGATACAGAATGCAGGAGCAAAACATGAAATATAATTGAAGCACTTTAAGCCAGTTTACATATACCAAAATAAGAAAGAGATTACAGACATGCACTCATACAAGCTCGAAATGCATTCATATAAATATTTTTGTGTGCCTTCTCATCACTAATTGATTATCCATACAGCAGTGTAAAAGGAAAAACTTCAAAATTTATACAGCTAATACAATCGGATACTAATGCAACCCTTAATCTAACATGATCTCTATCATCCTGTTCTATCTACTCTCCATCTTGTTCTTTGACAACTTTTGCAACGAGAGTTGCATGGAATAAACAAGCTTTGATGTCTTAGAAAATTAACATAGCAATGCTAATTACTTTATATGACTTTGCATGTGGAATTTCGAGAAGATTTTCCACTCTAAAGATGATAATAATCTAGTTTGATTGAGAATATTATATCAAGCACGCCACTTTATGCTCTGCATATAGACTAGGAGTGGTTAATGGGTGTTGTACACGGCATCCATCAAGATTTACTAGTCCAACAATAAGCAAGTAATACTGTACATACAAAAAGAAAAAAGAAGGTAAGCAAAGAAATGTTTACAACCTTGCAACTCCATTTAGACCTGCAGAGAAATATGGTATGGCCTGCGCTGCATTTGCAGCAATGATGGCAACAGAATCTGATGGAGTAACAAAGAACCTGACAAAATAGCAAGAGTTGTAAATGAAGATTTAGGTGTGGAAGTAACCTTCTCTAGCAAAAAAAATTAAAGGTTGGTGCTACCTTTTACCAAGGATCATATTGCGATCTGCATCACCATCAGCAGCAGCACCAAATTCTGGTGGTTCAGCTTCAGGGTTAGACTTACTCAATCCCATACGAGCAACCAACTCCTTTGCATAAGTGAGATTGGGATCTGGATGCCCTCCTCCAAAATCCTCCTGTTTGCATCGGCCAAGCACAAGCATGAAAATTTGAATAAAATAATAGGCACTTAGGCGCAAAAGAGATCTTATTAATCATTTATCACATATAGTATCACAAACTCAGCAACACCTTGGGTACACAGTTCAATAAGGAGCTCTCTTGTGCTCCAAGCTCCTCCACAAAAATGCGTTTTGCATAAGCCCCAGCAACTCCATGTAGTGCATCATAACTTTAAGATGATGAGCCAAGGAAATTTATAATCAAGCTGACATTGCATGCATGAAAAACAGAAATTTACAAGAGATGCAAATGAGACCATTTAATACCAGAATGTGAATTTTTGAGAGGAAAGGAGCTTCCGGATGGACTCAAAGTCAAAAATAGACCTGGGCAATTGTTAAAGAAGCATTAAATATTTTGAAGAGAAGATAGATGATCAGTTAGATACCAAAAATTTTGAATAATAAAGATCAGATGATCATCAGACAGCTAATCATTCATACAAATAAAATGGCAGAACAACTTTGCATTGTCCAGCCAGCAGAGCAAGACAACAACATATCATAAGATTCTACAGCATATACAGGAAATGTACAGCCTTATAAATTATGGTGACATGTATAGTGTCAAATACTATGGACTTTAGAGAAGAATATGTCACTGTGCATGACTCCTTGTTTCTAACAAAACAAAAAGTTTCGTAATCAACAAATTTCGATCAAAATAACAAAAACAAGTCATAATGCTTTCCTTTTTTCGTTTTCATTTTGTTTTTGAGTACATAGCAACAATACATCCTTCACTTATACATTGATTTTTTAGCTAAGACCATAAAGAAAACATAACAAAGGACTACCATTAAAAAACTTCTGACTCTACTTAGCTTGCATAGCATGCTAAAGAAGACATGGTGCAAATTCTTGAAGCTTGATTTCAAATCGCAAAGGGGCTAAGGCAATATTAACAATGTAACAAATCACATTTTGAAGATTGAAAAAATTCACATCATTTCACTTTTCTCCATACTTTATATGAGCCAAGAAATTCCTCATGGGCATCCAAGGAATATCCCAAATGTTATTAAATTCTTCTGCATCATGGGTATGTCAATGCCAACGATCATCATGTTTGGATAATCCAGTAAGCTACATAACTTACTACTGCATAATTCAGAAGTAGAGCGAGGGGAACACAATAAAAGGCTCATAATGTTTGCTTACAAGTATGTAAACAGAAATGATATATATGTCTGCAATTGATTGCTTATAGCTAAATAACTAGCATCATTGATCATATTCAATAAATTGTCCTCATAAAAACACAACTAGAGAGAAGTAGCAGTTTAGACGGGAAACAGCTTACTTCATCAATTTGACATAATCGCTAGCCGAGTCAAAAACCTCAACATCAAACTGTCCCTCAGGGCCACCAAAGCTGGTTACACCAATTGCTGCAATATCCACCTGGATGCAATTGAGAAATCATGGCATGCAGACAGTTAATGAAAAACTGCTGGCAGTTTGACAGAAACACTACAAGGCAAATGAAAGATAAGGTGGCGAGGATGAAGGATGTACGTCAGGCACGTCTGCAGTTAAGTACTCCTTTATTGTTTTAGTGTTCTCATAAATCTTATCAGTTATTCCCTCAGGAGCAGGGCCACCATTTTCCATGTTATATTTGATCCCAAAATCCTGCATTACAGGGACAAAAAGAAGCAGGATTTAGATAATATACCAGAGAATTTCTTACTACCAGACAACAAAATAATCACCCAGCCATTTTTTATGAGATAAAAGTAGATTCTCTGCATACTTGTGCTGCCATGCTTCAGATGCTTTTAACATGTATCATTAGCTGACATTATGAAGCAGTTTTAGTTTTTAATTTGTTTGTGTGCTTCGCCCTTAGATTGCAGGCTGACTTACCCTCTGTCTTGCAATTGTACTTCCACTTCTTTTGGTATCAATACATTGTCTTTCGTCAAAAGAAAAGAAAAGAAAAGGAAAGGAAAAAAAAAACCTTAACAAAATGAAGGTGGCACTCAAATGAAAAAAATCTGGCTATCTTATGTGTTATGGAGGGATGCTAAAAAACATTGATACTGATCAACATTCTCTTTCTATTATCCACCTAGAGGAAGCACCATATCCCAATTCCTTTCAACCAAAAGAAAGGAAAGATCGACGAGTTGTGATTGCCACTATGAACCACAATCCGAGACCACAAAAAAGAAAAAAAAATGAAAAAACAGTTTATGTTTACCTCATTAGGACCACCTGGGTTGTGACTTGCTGTCAATATAAATGCTCCTGTTGCCCTGGATCCCTGATATTCAAGTTCAGAAGTATAAAACTCATCATGCATAAGACTACCTATACTTTTGTTGAAGAAAATGAGCCCAGCTTACAGAGACAAGTTGACTTACATCTACCCCAACTCTTTCGCGTATTACAGCAGACACAGCAGGAGTTGAAAGCAGTCCATCTTGACCAACCCAGACACGTCTTACTCCATTTCCAGCTGCCATCTTAATAATAATCTGCCATTTGAACAAAAGAAGATAAAATATATGGCATTTCCATTGAGGTTTGATTGCATGAAATATGCATGCATACTATTAACAGCCACAGACAATGAGGATACTCCACCCACCCCAAAAAAACAGCACTATGCAGAGAGGAAGTTAAAGGAACAGAAAGAAAATATTATTCAGACAAAGAAGGCCATACTACTCAAAGAGAGCGAAAGTAAATTCTTACAAAATGGCATAAGATGTCCTCCTGGAGAATGATAAAGCATAACAAAAATGAAGACTATAAGAATTTCCAACCCCCTGAAAACCTGTAAAATGCACCAATAGCATGTCCTCTACTCTATTGTAACCATCCAAGAATCATCACTAATACTGAAAAAGCCTATACCACATATTCTAGAGTACTTAACAAAATACGAAAGGATGACTCTGAGTAGGCTTGGGAGCGGCTCATCATTGAACAGGCTGCCTAGCACAAAACCAGTAGCCAACAAATAACTCATAATCAAGCATGCAATACAACACAGTTGTCAGAGATATTGCCTGTGCATTCCACCAATGAATCACACAGGTTAAGAAGATGCTAGTTGGTTCAGTTCACTTAAAACTCGCAAAATACTAAAGAAAAAACACATTTTCGAGCTTATACTGCACCAAGACCTTTGTTTGAATTTTAAGACAAGCATTTCAGAAAGTTCAGCCAAACGATATCGTCATGTGGGAACATCATAATTTCAGCACATAATAATGTACGGTACCTGAATGGCATCCTTTGAGAAATAGCGACCATCACCAGAAACAACAAGTGTAGCACCTGCTTATAATGGTAAAGAAAAAGGAACAAAAAAGAAAATATCAGAACAAACTAAGTTGTCCAACAGGAAATGCACAACAATTTTGCATTAGACATAGACACTCTGTTGATCAAATGCCACTCACACTGGTAATGGCATGCAGAAGGAAAAGAATGGATCATTAAGTAACCTAACTTTTAATTATTTCATGAGTGTGCATGCAATTGATTGAAAATTAGCCGTTGGGCATGACTAATGAAAAGTAACTTTTGACTTTGAATCGTGATTCAAAAGTTATTTATCATAAATAACATATGACAAAAATTAGCTAACTTAGAAGTATGTTTGGCAAGAAATGACTAAAAGCCACTTTTCTGATGAAGGAAGGTAGTATAAGTTAAAATCAATAAGTTAAATTAAAATTTTGAACTTAATTACAGCAAATTTTTTACTCGAATTTGTACCAATTTATCGATTTAAGTTTAAAGTTATTTCTAGCCAAACATATTTATGAGTTTTCATTTAAAGGGAAAAAAAATCAATTTGCAAAACTAATACCAAACGGAACCTTCGTCAATTTGTGAAAGATTTAAACTGTATCTCTTGAACGTTATCCCACCATAAAGCTATCAGACTACGAATCTTTGGTCTAATGAAATAAAAAGGATGGAGAACGATGTCCTAACCTAGAGTAAAGTCCCAAAGGACTCGACGCTATATGGTCATCAAGACTAGCAACTTCTTCAGGCAGTAATAGAACAAATTGCTCCCGTACTTAGAAATGAAATACAAGTTCAAAAGGAAGTGACCTTCAGCACTCAAGCAAGACCAGACCGTTTTGTTCTACCAATTAAAATTGTTATATATTTCCCAATTTTAAGGCGCACGAATTAGTATGACAGATCAAGTATCAAATGCCAGCCATCTTTCGCATAAATTACAGATCAAATTTCACCTCTAACTTTTTGTGGAGTGAGTGCATTCAAGGTTGATTGGACAAAATTCTCCAGATAATTAGGTTGCTTGAACACCTTCACCTGAAAAAAAAATAGCAAATCATCAGACAGAGATCGTATTCACAAAAATTCAATTCGAAGACAAGAAATCTGATCGCGAAAATGAAACGGAAGAGAACAATCGCTCGGAAATGGAATGCAACAGATCTGCTTGACTATTGAGAATCCATCAAAACAGAAAAAGGAAGCACCAAACCTTCTTGCGAAGGCCAGAAGTTCCAGGTTTCTGACCATCGAACGGCGTAGTCTCCACTCGTGAAACATTGAACAGCACCATTTTTTTCAATTTTATTTTTATTTTTCTTTTTTTCCTACCAGGGGAGTGCAAGCGGGTGTTTTGTCGTTAAAGGGAATAAGAAGAATAAAGCGAAACGTAACGAAAAAGTTCTGAGGGCTTCGAAATTCTGGTACTTACAAAAGAAGGTGAGAGAAAAGAAGGGTATATGACGAGGATTATTCGATGTGGATAGACAATTTAAACCTCCCACGTAACCTTCCTATTATGGATTTTGGAACAATGTACTTCATGATTTGGTCCAATGGCTGGCAGTAGAGATAGTGATAGTGACAATAAAGCAACAGAACGATTCCCTCGGTTTTTCTATGGCAAAACCTCGGTTTCTACTCCCTAACTTGTATATCTATTATCTATTGAGTTCCAAAACAATATATTTAATTAATTAGGTGCAGAGGTTTCAAATATTTTTTTTAATTTGATCCTTTTCTCGAAGTTTCTTCGTATTTTCTGTTATAGTGTGCCTATTTTATGAAATACAGCATCGCTTTCAAGAAATTTTATAGAAATATTAGTGGAAATTGATAGAAGGACCCAATTGAGAATTTCTCCAAATATTTAAAACCTAATTGATTAAATATTTTATTTCTGGACTCAATTAATAATTGACTGAGTAAATTTTGGGGTTAATTTTAGGTTGCTTTTTATTTTTGCTTGAACTAACATAAGTGGGTGTGTCTGTATGCATATTCTTTTTCACTTCAACCAGTTGAATACCACGTATTGTAATTATTGAGCTCTCAAACAATTGTTTGTCTCAATTAAGTCCTTAAAATATTGAGAAATTCTCAATTGAGATTTTTGTCTATATTCTTCACAAGTTTTGGGCAGAAAAAAAATATCTTAAATCAGCCAAATTTGTTTTTTTTTTATCAGCTAAATTACGTTTCAATTTTTTTTATTTTTATATCTTATTAAATTACTATGAAACAAATAAAAGGCAAACATAATATACATACATAGAACAACCGTTAATTATCAAAGAAATATATTCACTGTAATTTTTAATCGGTACCAATGATGATAACTTCTTCATTCATGGTTTAGGCAATAACTAAATATTCTTATCTCCTAACTTGTAATGAAAAAAAAAAATACCTTGACAATATCTTTGATTTCCCCGACTTGTTATTTTTCATTGATCGACCTAACAAGAGATGAGTTTCATTGGTTAGATCCATTCGCTTGGTAGTATTATCATTATTAGACTTCAGAAAATGGATCTAGTTTAATATTAAAAATTAAAGTTGAAATCTTTTCATATTCAATCATATTTATTAAATATTAAATATGAACTTTTAAATTCAAAATCACATATAATTTTAATAAATGTTAAAAATTACAAAAAAAAAAAAAAAAATCAAATTCTAGAGTTGTATTGAATCTTGTCGTTTTCATCTCCACCGAGATAAATTTTATTTTTCAATTTAGGATGGAGTTACCTTAAAAAATACAAAATTATTTATTTAATTTTTTTCATTCACCTATTCTACATTATTGAATTTTAAATAAATGAAGAGGTTGAAATATAATCAATCAAATTCTCCTTTTAATATAAAAGTATATAAATATAACTAAAGAGTTATTTATCCAAAACAACTTCTATTCCATGTAGGATCAATGAACTCATTTTGTGCATGCATAGAAGATCTAGCATGTGGGTAAATAACTTCTTTAACGGACAAAACGTCTACTCGTCAACTCTAATCCTCCGTCAATTTTTGCCTTTAGAAAGAAACAGCTAAGAGCCTACATTTTCTTTATCGTCTAAGTTGAAGTTGTTGCATTGAATCAGGAATGGTTGCTAGGGGTGGTCACAAATAAAAAATTTTATGCGACTTGTTTGACGTTGAATTAAAAACGAATCGAACTTGAATAAAAAATATGTGAAACCCTACTCTTATTTTTTAATTTTTTAAAATTTATTTAACTTTATATTTATAGAATCCTGAACAAAATCCATGAGAATATTATGTTTTAAAAGTTTTTTAAATTGTATTTGGAAATTTCAAAAAAAAAAAACATAATTGGTTAATGTTTATTTTTTTATTCGAAATTGATTGTTTATGATGTTACTAGTTGTTTGGAGCAAAACCCTTAAAAATAATTGTGTTTTTATGTTTTTTAAGCTCCTAACTTGAAATTCTTTTTTAAAAAAAAACCCTAATTGTTTAATGTTGATTTTTAAGGGTGTTGAAGTTGATTGTTTATGTTATTATTGTTCGAAGCAAAACCCAAATAAAAAATTATATTTTAAAGGTTTTTAAGTAATATTTTGAAATTTCAAAAAAAAAAAAAAAACCCTAATTGTTTAATGTTGATTTTTTAAAGAAAAATTGATTGTTTAATTTTGGTATTTTTAAGAAAAAATATATGTTATTTATTTATTTATTTATTTAGCTTTGAATTGGTTCTGTTTATTCGTAGAGAATGAAATGAAGGTAATTTTTAAGTTTAAATCATAGTCTTGTTGGGTTTGAAATTGTTTATTGGTTGTAACTTGAAAACCCAGTTGAAAGTTTTTGAATCTTGTCGCAGTTTGATTGTTGAAACTCTAAAGATAAATAGTCCGCACTAGATTTTTTATCCGCATTATACTACGGGGTTGGATAAAATATATAAAATTATTTAAAAAAATTATTTTAGCTTAATAATTTGTTTTATGATATGAATTTATAACAATATATGACATCAAAGGTGAAAAAATAATTATAATTTTTTAATCACAAATTTTGTATTTAACTATTTCTTATTTGTGTTTTTCATATTTTTTCTTTACAAAAAGGATTTATCCTTGTTAATCTATGGATTATTAACTAAAAAGAAAATTAAATAATTTAAAAAAAAACTTTAGTATTTTATAAGATTGTGTCAAAAAAAAAAAAATCACTAAAAGCTTACATAGAATTGAACAAATATATATTTTTTTTTAATTTCATGTTGATGAGAATATTGATTTTTGAAAAAAAATTTGAATTTATTTTTATTAATTGGATGAATACTATTAAAATAAATCAAAACTATGAGCAAATATAATTTTAAATTAATTTGACGAGAATTTAAAACAAATGACAAATTAATGAAAATAGTAATAAATGACAAATCATGAGTACTAAAATTCTTTATTATAATATATGTATTTTTTTTTTTTGAGAAATACGTCTTATGTAATTGTTAATTAATAAATTATGTTATGTGATAGTATGTGCTTATAGACATAATTATTTTTTCAAATTAGATATTTTAAACTTTAGAAATAAATAATAAAGAAATTAAATTGTTGGTTCATTTAAAATTTTAGCACTCAATTAATTGTTGGTTTCTTTAAAATTTTAACACCCAACATTATTAAAAAACGAAAATTAAAAAAAACAAAAATCAATGTTTAGGAAAAAAAGGAGCCGGTTGTTTACGATTCATGTGAACAATAAACGAGACAAAAAAATTTTTTTAAAAAAGCTGTTCAATGTTAGAAAGAAAGAAAAAAAAAAAAGGGGGCAAGGCATTTACTTGTTCAATGAACAGATGATCGAGAACAAAAAGGGAAAGAAGGCCAAAGGGGCTGGCCAAAAAACATTTGAAAAAAAATAAAGAACAATAATGAACAGTGTTAACATTGTTCATCGGTGTTCATTGTTACGATGAAAACTCGTTTTCCTTTAGTTTATAATATAATAAACTTTGCTCATAGTTCAACCTATTCTTAATTGAGTGGTAGGATGTTTTTATGTTTCTTGACTGTTTTGTTACCCTCTTTGAATTATTCATGTTTCTATTATTTATTTCCAAGATCTTGAAAGATTGATTTAATTGTAATACTATGGTTGTCTATACACTCTCGGATTTAATTGGGTGTTTTCCGTTGGATTTTTTTATGTTGAAATGTATGAGTTTGTTATGCAATTTAAGGCATTATATAGTCCTAGTTGAAACAGTTATATGTCTCATCGCAAACGATTATTTTCTTTTTTTAAGACATAAATACTCTCAAAAGATATTCTAATTAATATCAAATTTTAATGACAATTTGTAATAATTTGAACGTTTTCTTTAGTTGGAAATTTGTTTCTGTTAATTGAATCAAAATACATGATATTTTGTGAAATAGTATTTTAATATATAGGATGTAAAGTATAATTTGTGCAAAATAAGGGTGTAAAGTGCTTTTGTGCTGAAAATACAAGGAGTTTAATATATATATATATATATATATATATATAGAAAAAAAAAAGAAAGAAAGAAGGGAAGAAAGAAAACATACGAGAGAGAGAGAGGAGATTCTCTTCATAATTTATTGAAAAACTCTCTGCTTAGTGATGGCACTAGAATGGTAAAAAAAGCGTGCTTTTTGGCTAAACCCCATATTTTTACCAATTTGTCAAAAAGACTATTTGTTATCAATTCCATCAACTGAAATACGTGTATTTTCAATTTCAACTAATCGAATATAATTTTCGAAAGTTGAAAATTTATCTTAACTAATTGAGTATTTTTATTCTCAAAAAGATTCATTATTATCAATTTTATTGTTGTTCCTATTCATATCATCACTCATTCTATTCTTTTTATTGAATCCCTTCTCAATTTTAGACGAATTATGCTCGATTGATTTAAATAAAAAAAATATAGATGCTTAATTAACTGAATTAACGGTACATGATTTTTTGTAACGGGTTGGTAAAAACACATGATGTAAATAACAGATTTAACCTTTTTTTTTCTTTTTATAGTTGCAAACAAAACTTGTAAATTCTTGTGATTTTTTTACCTTAATTGGCCAATTATGCTCTCACAATACGTATGAGAAGTAATATGAGGTTACCATATGTTTGTTTATATCTTCAATATAAACTAAAAAGTTCCAAGTTTTTCACACGCATACAGGGGCAATAGTAGCATGTATTGGTCCGCAAATTCTGGCTTTCAACATGCTTTGGGTATACAAGGGTTGTTAAGTAGTGGAGATATATTCCAATTTTCAAAAAAACCTAGAAAAAGAAAAAAAAAAGAGTTTCTTGTTTAAATTCAAAAATTTTCTAATAAGAAAAGTGTGTTTTCCAATTTTACACTTTTGTTCTTTTTTTTTTTTTTTTAATGAAACTTTCCATTCATAAAAAAAGATACAAGTAGAAGCTTACCATAATATAAAACATGAGTCCATGACATATATATATGAAATAGATTAGGGCAACATCTATGGAATATAAATAGATTCAAAAATATAATTAAGTATTATTTCAATTAAAAATTTAGAATTGTATAATCTGTAACGAATAATCTAACAAATCGTTCTTGTCATATCATTTGGAGAAGAAATATTTTTACCATGGATTCTACATCTTCTTTGTTTTCACAAACCATAAATGATTGCATTCCATGCCAATCTGGTAAAAATAGATTGATTTTTTTTTTTTTTTTTTTTGCAAATGTTTTATTGCTTACTCGTAACTCTATACTCCAACTACCAATTGCTTTATAAAATCCACATTTAAAAAAAAATAGCATTCCACACAATCTTAGAGTAGGAACATTTAAAAAATAATTGATTTTGATCCTCTTTAATATTTCCATACAATAGATAACCAGCATTGATATTTTTTCCATTTGAATCTATCTATTTTTCAAGGATAAACGATTTCAAATTGCAAACCAATAGATAAAGTTATGTTTTAGGATGTTAAATAATCCTCAAACAAGTATATGTCACACCATTCTAGTACATTTGTTTCTCACCAGCTTTCAAACGCTTCTAATTGTAAATTTATCATTTGATATAACTTTCCATATGGCTTTGTCATCAGAATTGGCATCATACATATAGCATATTGCACTTTTATCATAGTTTTTTATTATCATTAGGCCAGAACCAACCACCATCTCTTATAACAACATCCAAGGAAGCATAAATTGGAATACCAAATTCATAAATAAGTCTTGTGTCAAATACTTGATGAGAATGTCATATGAATGCCAAAGATCACGCCATAACTTTATTGTTTTTCTATTTCCAACAATATGATGAATTTGTTCTCAAACTAATACGTGAGTTTATGAAGTTCTTTCAATACCAAACACAATCATTAGTGCATTTTAAGCACAAAAGCTCCTTCCTCTCAATTTATAATTAGCAGCCCATAATGATCCAACTTTTAGAAACAAACTCCAAATGCGTTGGATAATAGATGCATCCTTCCACTCTTTAATCTTCTTAATGCCTACTTCACCTTCTTGTTTTGGTAGGGTTCCTATGCTCCAAGCACTTATGTTCTTTTGCTTGAAGAACATCTTTTTTATGTTCTCCATCTTTTTTCCACTGCTTAAAGGCTTGCATTTTTCCACTGGAAAACGAGTATCCTCTCTTCCTTGTACCACACACCACAGCACCGCACTTGATCTTTTGTGAAAGGGAGCCAGACAGAGACAAAAAGGAAAGGAAAGAAAGAGAGAGATTCCAAATTTGAAATTGTTTTCTTAATTTTTTATTTGTTATTATTTGCCAGATTTCTGGCTTTTTGTTCAGCTTTCCTCTGTCTTGCCTAGAATTTTTCCGGACAATTTTTTTCTTTTCCTAGCAAAACCTCTTCTCTTCTTACAACAATCCAAGAAACCAGAAAACCATCGATCACGATTACCTCAGATGCGAGATGGTGGAGGAATGATCTTGATTTGGACCTGTAAATAAATTCGAAGGTTCTTTGGACCAAACACCCATTTTTCGGCCCGATTTATGTGGTTTAAGCTTATTTTTCTCATATCTTAACATGTAATTTATTGGATTTTGAAGATGTGGATAAGAATCTACATTAACTCTAATTTGACTTTATAAGAATTTGATGAAATCATGTTGAAAATGAAGGTTTTGCATTTGGGTTATCAACCGGATCAATTTGGCACGGATTTCTGCAAACGGGTGCACTTCAGGCTGTTACACAAGGTGGAAGATGGAATATTTACAATTTAGTCCTAAATTTTCAGTTTATTCAAGTCAGTTCTTGTGATTGTAATCATACTAATTTGAACATGCTCTCTGATTTTCTAACTTGGGAAAAAGTGGTGAAACCAATAAGAAATGAACATGTTTTTTTATTTCCTAACGGAGAATGAAAACTGTAAATAGAGTAGGAAATTGGAGGTGAAAAAGAACTTTTCTTCATTACTGAACCGACCCTTGGTATTTTCCAACCCATCAGATGGTTTTTTTTTCTTTAGTATATTATGATATAATTGGAATTACCTTGCCCAGGGGCGGAGCTATATGTGAAAAAAGGGGGCAATGCCCTGCTTAATTTTTTCAAAAAATTCATAATAATCCTTCATTTAAGAAATTTGAATTCGCCTTGTTTCTAGACATTTGCTCCCCGTAGTTCTTGAAACTTTTCCATTACTCCATGATATACCTACTAAGGAATAACTTGTTTAGAACAATTGTACATGAGATTGTCATTTTAAACAGACTATTTTGTATTTTATAATTCATTTTTGATAAAATAATTTTGTTTAAATTCAATATAACATAATAAAGTAATGTTCTTTGTGTGATAGTATTTTTATTACACAATAAAATAATGTTATTTGTGTAATAATACCTATCAAAATAGTATTTTTGTTTTCGCTCCCCTAGCTCTTCTAGCTCAAGCCCCTTCCTATGAGGGGACAAAATAAAAAAAGAATTCACACAATCGCAATATCTTTAGATGAATCACCAACGATAAAAATAAAGCTTAACATGTACAAAAAAAACCAGGCTAGCTTAGGGCTCCAAACGAAATTTGAACACGCTCTAAGATAAATCTACATGGGGCATGATCAAAACTCAAAACCATGCGACGATACATCTGTCATCAGCAACCCAAAATTGCTAAAGGATCCATGTCTTTATTATACCATCTGCCACGCCTCACGAGTGAGGACCAACGACCCGATCTGGCAACGAAATTTCAAAACTCGTCAAAACCCGCCTCAGCCCGCCTAATTTTTCAATCGTCCAACTATTCAAAAACTTAAAAAAAAAAAAAAAAGAACAGAAAAATTATATAAAACAATTAGCATTCAAGCATGCCATCGAAAAGGTAACATGCTGGGCATATGCCTCACCAAATAATATAGCTGTAAAGTTTCCACAATTTTTTTACTTTATTTTATTTTAAAGAAAAGCAAAACCCTAATCTAACGACAACATTAAAGATATTTTCACCTACCGCTTCCCAGAGTTGCTTGCTAAGAACAAAAACAAAGATACCAATTAATTTTGAAGCTTTAAAAAATTAATGAAGAACCATGGGAAAAAAGCAAAAGCATGAGTGAAAAAGTAATCAGAATCAAGTCTCCGAGAAAGAGATAATGATAATAAAGAGGGCAAAGGCCTACACAGCCGCTGATCAAATTTACAAGACAAATTAAAATTACAGGAGTCACATAATCCAACCCTCCCCCCTTCCATGCTCAACATTACCACAACGATCACTACATTTTAATTTAAACTAAATTTAAAACTTGAAACCCAACAAACCAAAAAAAAAAAAAAAAAAGCTTAAGCTACGACATCAATTAGTAGTTCCCTTGTCTACCTAAACAAAAAAAAAAAAAAGAACTTCGAAAAAAGAGAAAAAGAAAAAAAAAAAAATCTAATTCCTATCTCTACGTCTCTTTCTCTCTCCACTCTTCTAACTCCACTCAACCAGCGACGGGGGCCACAGCCGGCTTAACCTTAGGCGGCCTTCCCCTCCTCTCGGTGCGCCACTGGGCTGAGCAGCAGCTGGACTCGCAGCGGGAACCGCCGTACCAGCGTTCTTAGGTGGACGACCACGTGGCCTCCCACTTCCAGGACTTGCCGACTTCTTTTTCGGAGAGGCCACAGGCGCAAAAGGATCCCTTGCTTTGGGAGGGCGGCCACGTGGTCTGGGAGATCCAGCAACAACTCCAGCTGGGGTTGGAAGCTTAGGCTTGGGAGGGCGACCTCTGCCTCTCTTTGGAGGCGCGTTAGGATCAGGCTTCATGTAGTTGTTCTTGACCAAGACAAGCTGACCACTCTGCTTCATCTTGTTCAGGTGGTGAGAGAGTAGTGTGCTGTGTGCTGGTGGCAGATCGGGGTGTGTTGACTCAATTTCTTTCGAAATTGATGTCTTGTTTGACCCTTCTTTCTCGTTCAATGCCTCAATAGCTGCCATAATCATCTAAAAAGGGGGAAAACCTACATTATAAAGTAGACAGAACTAAAGATAAACAAAGAAATAACACTGATAGTCATGTAATGAAATTGTCACCTCTGGATACTGAGGGAGAGTGGAGGATTGCTGCTGTGACTGGTGTTGAGGTAGAGCTGGAGCTGGTGATAGGGGTGGAGCTTGTGGGTGAGTAGAATCCTCACTAGTGGTTGCCATGGAAATTAACAATTCTTTTCCGAAAGAGAAGGAAATTGAAGGAACTGTGTTTGTTTGGTGTGGAGTGAGGAGAGGGGGTAAAGGGGAGGATTTAAAAGGGAGGGGTTTTGTTGAGGATTGGATGGAGAGGAAAGGAAAGTGAAGGAAGATGAGGCGTGGAGGAAGCATCTAATGGTTGGGGATTGTTCTTTTCGGTTTTGATCGGGCGGATGTGGTTTGTTTAGAAATGGACTACTCGGATTGATGACCTGGATGAGGACTAGACTGGGTTTCTAATATTTGTGAAACCTGAATTACGGTTTTGTCCTTTTTTTTTGAATTTTTGCGTTTCTGTAGCATTTGGTGTTTATTGCCTGTTATGGATAACGTGAGAGTAAAGAACGTGTTGTATTTTTATTGGTGTTAAGAATAGAGATGGAAAATCGCTGGAAAAGTTGTTTGGGAGAGCCAGTTAAAATGCGACACGAAATGAAGACCGCGTGATACTAAGGTTGTCTGATAACTGGTCTATTAGAACCCAGATCCGGCATCCAAGTTCGCGAAATGGGGTCCGCTGTAGGACCGGAGATAGGTGATTCTCTGCATCAGAGATGTACGTGAGAATCTGTAAGAAATCGAATAGTGGTTGAGCTTGGTGTTGACTTTGTATAAATGACCGGACTTCTTACAACATCAGGGATCAGCGACCGCTCGCTGCTCAAATTCAAAGGTCAGGGTTGATCGTACTTTTAAATCAGGGGCGACGCTTTGTGAACAGGAATTAAGATTGGACAGATACCCTCTCTTTTTCATTTGGACTTGTGGGTCCCTTGCTTCTTCTTTTTTAACTGTTATCGTATTACGCTATTTCTACTCTTTTGAACCGATAATATTTTTTTTAAGGCAAAATTTGTTATAAAAATAACTTATAAATTTTTTATTTATATATGTATTGTTAATCTATAATCATGTCACATATATTTGAAAAAAAAAAAGAAGCAAAATTTATTTTAAAAATAACTTTTAATTTTTTTTATTTATACATGTACAGTTAATTTATAATCATGTCACTTATATTTGAAACAAAAACGTTTTAAAAATAAAAAAGTTCTTAATAATATAATGTTAAGTGGAACTTTTTTAATAATTATTACTTTTAAGAGCCATATATATTAATCCTCATCATTAATTATTACTGTTTGAAAGATATTTCAATTATGTATGTAATTCTTGATTAAATACAATTATAAATTACATCACAGGGTTCATAAATTAAAAAAATAATTTATAGAAGATTATTCGAAATCAAACATATTTGTTTAGTAAACATTCAAATTTACTCATTTATAAATAATTCTAAACAATCTATTTGAAAATAGAACAAAAATAATATAAATTAGTCACATATCATACGTGTAAAGCACGTGCTTAGAAACCAATAGAAAGAAAGGAAATTATACGTTCCAGTAAATTCCTCCCATAATTATCAGGATTGGAGATTCAACTTTTTGATGTCACAGTGAGTAAATTTGTTGGCCAGGAACAAATTTTTGTTTGACAATCAGAAGCAAGTACGCCCATTTCTGTTCCTCCCTTGGAGACGCAAGAAACTTCTCCTGCCCATTTGCTTGGTTTCCTGAGCAAGTCTCCTTGTGTACCTCTTCGATAGGATGAGCAAAGCTAAATATTGATCAGAGCCTTAAATCTTGAAGCCATGCTACAGTACTTCGTTTCAACAAAAGACCATCTTATTGCCTCAACAATAATGCAACATTCCAGAGAATTTGAACATTACAACTCTTTAGTCTTTTCTGTTCTTGGCTCAATTAGAGTAACACGTAGGCCTCCATGAGATCAGCCACTCAAAAATCCTCATTTTCCTCCCGCGCTAACTCTCTACTGTAACTAACCTTTTTCCATGTCTAATAAAGTAACAAGGAGAATTGAGGTTCCACTATTTCTTCTATTGAATCACTAATTTTCCATTGATATTTACCCACGAAAAGACCACATTTTATATACCTAGGTTACAAAAAGAATGAAAAAAATCATATTGAAATATGCTTAGCTTTCAATTGGACGTTTACCGTGAGGATCTAATCTTGGGGTTGTATGAGCTGAGGTAGATGCAGTGGCAGTATTAATATTTGAACTCGAATCAAATGTACGGGAATCAGATTCACCGAATGTTCCAGCAGTACCAGATGTTCCCATGGTCGAGGACATTCCTGCTGGTCTACGAGATCTCCTATATCTAGAACCAGGAACTCCAGGTCTGGTTGGTTCTTCTAGACCGCCAGGTTTCTTTGACAACAGAACAACAACACGTCTCATATATGGCCGTAACTGCGGATCACCTTGTGTGCATAGCAGCCCTATATGAATACAAATTTTCACTTGTTCAGCAGCTGCTGAGGATGCTAATTTTGGGTCCATAATCTCCAAACTCCGATTTTTTTTGTAAAGCTTATATGCCTGCACCAACAGCAAACCAAAGCTTAAAACCAAGCAAAGGCTAGAAAACACAATAATAGAACTATACAATTCCACAAGTGCTTCTTCCAATTAGTAGTAGTAGTAGTAGTAGTAGTAGTAGTAGTAGTAGACAACTGCCATTTCAGAACAGATATGCAAGGTATTGCAAGTCATAAACGAGCTTGATCATGTGCGTTAATTGAAAATAATTTGGGCACCTCAACTGGAAACAATTTCCCAAAGGCAGCTTTGATCTACTATCATTCCATTGAGTCCTTTAGGTAGGCTCTTCCCACATCAATGCATTTATACACACGAGGCCACACGGATGTTATAGCTCTTTCCAAGATCACACAATGTTTACCTTTTCTTTTTCTTTGTTTACACCCAGAAATAAGAAAAGGTTTGTTATGTGAGAAGAACATTTCATAATTTCCGTGATTGTGCCACAATTTTGACTTCCTTGATGTATTCTCTTTGACATTTTCATTTATCAAATTATCTTTAGCGTCTAGGCTCACTACCCCAAAAAAACAACCAGGAGCAGTGAGCAGAATTTAGGAACAAGCTCATTCAACAAACTTAGTACTTTTCTACAAGTCCCAACAATGTTTATTCGACATAACCTTAGTCATACGTCAACAAGTCATCAGCCAAATTTTTGTTTCCACTTTTCTACTAAACCAAATTAAACAGAGGCAAAAAAGATGATTGGAGTCTCAAACCAACAGCATTATTCAGATTGATACATGCATAAGCAAAAATGAAACCTACAACATCATAAATCACCATGATATGAATTAATTAAGTGATGAATCAGGTCCTTACCCAATCAAGTAGATTCTGTGCTTCAGCATGCTGTTGACTAAATGATGAATTTCTCTGGCCGCTGATCAGCTCCAGAACCAAAACCCCAAAGCTAAATACATCTGCCTTCACAGATAAATGTCCATGCATGACATACTCTGGAGCCATATACCCACTGTTACCAATCATAAGCATATTGTTATATCATTCACAAGCTTTAACCTAAGCACTCGGACTCTGTTCCAATCATAAGAATATGGCCAATATTATGGTGGTTAGAATTTGAAAACATACTTGGTACCAGCAACACGGGTGTTAACATGTGTTTGATCTTCAGGGAAGAGACGGGCCATGCCAAAATCAGCAATCTTAGGAACCCATTTATCATCCAGTAAAATATTGCTTGCCTTGATGTCGCGATGGATGATGCAATTGTGAGAATCCTCGTGGAGGTAAAGCAAACCCCGTGCAATGCCAAATAGTATATCATATCTCCGCTTCCAATCAAGCAGTTCTCTTTTATCAAATTCTGCATGAAAATGATCACTATGACTTTTTTGTTTGGAACACTGCAATTTTAATGAAAAATCAAGTACAAGACTATCACTTTTTTTCCTTTTTTTGATGAGTGTGTTCCAATTTTATTAGAGTTCATGACTATAGTGTTGTCCTTATTTATTATGTACTAATTTAGGAACTTAGTGGTTAGAGGCAGATTTAAAACATTCACCTTTTTTTTTTTTTTTTTTTCAGTCGAGTAGTGAAGGAAATATTATTATCTTGACCATCTGTTTTAAGCTTCTTGGCACCAAAACTTAGATCATGAATGTGCCACTAATTCTGCAACACGAGTTCTTTGGAAAAGAAAATACTGGTTGTAAGGAAAATGTTTGATTAATTTAATTCAGTCAGGCTGCTGATCAGATCAAATTGCTTTAGAAATGAAAACATATTACATGATCCCTTTTTATCCAACAAAAAATCACAGGCCTGAACAAATCACTTGAGAATATATATATATCTACTAAAACATTTTACAGGCCCAAAACTCATTAGTAACCCAATCCGAGAAAGAAAATCCAAGTTTGTTAAATTAAGTTTTGCATAAACATAAATCAGAATTGAGCAATTGTAGGAGTTGAAATCGAAACCTAAACATGCTAGTGTTATTCGATTGAACTTCATTCAGCTAATGAAAAAAAGAAATTGCAAATAATGACACAAAACATGAAAATGAAAAGAAAAGCCTAGAATTGCAAACTGTTAACTGGTACTTACTGAACAGAAGCTTGTCAAGGCTCTCATTAGCAACATACTCATAAACTAGTAGCTTTTCCTCACCATGTGCACAATATCCTAACAAATTAACAACATTTCGGTGCTGGACACGTGCTAATAGCTTGGCTTCATTCATGAATTCTTTCTTCCCCTGATTTGAGCTATGGGACAACTTCTTCACTGCAATCTCTCTCCCATCATCCAACTTCCCCTATTTAAAACATTCCAGAGTTAGAAGAAGGCTCAATTTCCTTCTTTAGCTACAAAGTGATCTAGGAGCTTTTGCCTCGTCAAGATTGAAATTCAAGCTAAGAGTATCCAGAAGATTTGGGTGAATATGATTACCCTTAAAGTGCACTGGAATAGCTTACTAGCTACTAGCTAGCAGCAACAACATATACATATGGCTTTCCCCCTTCAAAAAGTTATAAAATGAAACATATGCTCTCATTAACTCCAATACAGAGTGCATACCCTCTCATTAATATGCAACTCCTTAAAATTACTACTCAGACATTTGTTTACACTTGTTTCATACGGTTGGATTATTAGGTTGATTATATCTTCAAGGCTAGTAGCCACAATTAGTTTCACTTCAAAAAGACCAATGCAATAACATAAAAGATTCTAAACAGAATTTGCACATCTTCTTTTAGCAAATGCCATTTTGTTATATGTCCTCATATACCAACGGTATGCATGAATGAGTTGAGGACCCAAAAAAGGAATTGCAAACAATATCCTAATGGTAACAATATTTCTATATATGTATGATGTAATGATATAAATAACCACCAATTCTTCCTCTCAAAAAGGAAAAAAGAATGCCCTCCATCCTTGAAAGAAAATAAACCAACAAGATCATAAAACCTCTTCCAATTCTTTTCAGCAATTTAAAAAAAAAAAAATTGGGATTCACTACTACGGCCAATAAGAGAGACATAATTACTCTGTATACAGGTCCAAATCCACCTTCACCCAGCTTGTGAGTTGGGTGGAAATCTTTGGTAGCAGAGACCAAAGTCTCAAATGAAAAATGCTTCTGTTCCTGTGCAGCAATCTTTTCCAAGTCCTCCTCTCCAAGTCCCTCTGTTCAATCAAATCACATATCAAAAACCAAGCAGAAAGATCATAAACATAACATCTCAGAACTTACTCCAAAAGAATGAACTGGGTTTCCTAGTTACCTTTGCTTGACTTGAACTTGAAATACTTCATCAGATTCGGCAAGAAACTCTTGGGCTTTGTCATAGTTTTCAAGAATTGCTAAAAAAAACAACCAGACCATGGGAAAGTACTACAGCAAAAGCGGAGCTCGGAAATTTTCAAGTGAAATATGTGATTTTGAGTGATTTCTGGTTATTCAAGTTTTTCAAATTCTTGATTGGAAGGTGGGTTGGAACTGGTGATTTTCAGTAAATTTTTTATGATTTTTCAGAGTTTTAGGGCTGCTGAAATAGAACGTGTTGACCCTTTATTGACCTGCAGGGTTTTTATACAAAGTACTTTATTTTATTTTATTTTATATATATATATACACACACACGCAAGCAATCAATAGAAAAGTCAAGACCGAAATAGGGACTAGGGAGTACGGACTCGTTGAGCACCGATGCTATGAGGTTCATGTTTTCAAACGCCAAAATGAAAACAAGGATTCGAGTGGGACGCAAGATAAAGATAGTATAACCATTCATTTCGGCCAACTGCGAAACAAAGACTTTTCTCCAATGCAAAAGCAGAGTTGCGTCGGCCGAGAAAAGAAAGCGCTTCTAATGGTGTTCTGGAAAAAGAATAATTCCAATAGTACATACACACATTTATCTATTGGGTAATGTTTACATAAGTCCCCCTACTCTTGATTTTGTTTTTAAAATATTCCTTTTTTTTTTTTTGGTCTTAGTCTCATTTCTTAATGTTTAGCTTTTGTTATTATTATGTCATTTTATTTTTAAACTAACAATGTTAACTCTAACAGTAAAATTCACAAGACTTTACCATGTGTCAAATATATTTTTTTACTAAATATAAATAAAGATAAATTTTGAAAAAAAAAACAATAAACCAAAATAATACAAACTATCCTCATCGACAACATCTTTAATCACAGTACCCCATTCATAAGTCACAACTATGTAAAGATGCCTTTTAAAGATGAAATCAAGAGCACGTAGACTCCTATAGACATTAATTCATTTATCTATTTTGTGACACTTCTTTTTTTTTTGTGTTTACTATTTGCTTTTTGGGTCCTAATTAGAAGACAAATCTTGAACAAATGCATAGTTAGTTTGGCATAGTTATCAATTACGAATTTGGAATGCTATATATGGATTTAACGACACGTTTTACTTTTAAATTATTGAGATTATGGTAAAATAAGGTTTGAACCATCAATTTGGTCTACTTTATCATGAAACTTAACTCTCTCTTTTTTTTGGCATAATATGTCCTTGTATCTAATTAAATCGTCAAGAATGATGATCGAATTTTGATCGATAGCCGAACGACTCAAAACAACGTAGTTTTGCGCAATTTGAATTTTTTTTAACACATAAAACAATTTTCGAGTTATAGTTAACATTTTATGGAATGACTCTTTTCTTTTGTCATAAATCCGATTCTCATCATGGCAATTCTCTTTTTGAGAATTACTTAAATAAAGAGTTTCAAGAGTTAACATCTCCTAGAATGATTTTTTTCTCCACACAAACTTCAATAATTTGGCGTCATATTAAAAATATGATTAACAATCTCATTGTGATTGCAAAAAGTTGTTGTGGATAAATTTAAATAATAATTCCACTATAGTAGCCAAAATTAAAAGAGTGAAAAATGACTGATTGGATAGTGATCTGGAAAGTAGTATAACTTTCATATTTTAGTTTTTATAAACTGAATTAATTGCTTTATGTAGTCTAATATTTACTCGGTGATATGTTTGGTGTTTTCTCTTGTATATAACTAAACTAAATTAATTAAAAGTCGGTTCGTAAGCCCCATCTATAGTTTGCATTCTACCAACCCAAACTAGAATGCAAATTGTAAAGTTAATTATTAATAATTACAATCACTTTAAGCTAAAAAAATCTATGCTTTATAAGTTTTATTGTCATCAAAGTTTATGTTTATGTTACTAGCTCTAAAATTAGCAAATAATGAAAAAAAAACTTACATTTATTGATGGAAATTCTACTTATAGACAAGGACTCTTCCTTCGGACTTGATGTTCGCTTAAAAATTTAATGCTCAAGGAATACAAACATTGATTGGGTTACATAAGATATTCAAATGATCAAACTATCGGCCTATAATATTGTTGTCCACTTGTTACTATCTACAAGGTATAGTCTAATAAGTTTTAGGTGTGTTGAAACTTGAAAGTGCTGCGAGGGCTTCTTATTGTTTGCAAATGTTGGTGCTCTTTTCTCTTATGTTACAGACTTCTATTTATAGTTATTTGGTTCTTTCATGATCTTTGTAATGCTTCATGTTAGAAAGGTTCAAGTTGTCTTGCAGGTGCTCAATATTATCCATTCTTATAACTTTCACACTCTATTAATGCTTATTCTCTTTCTAGTTATTTGGAAGATTAGTTTTTATGGTTTGTCTTATCAATTGAAGAAAACTATATTCCCCTAACTACTTCTCTAATTTAAAGAGTCAATAAGCCATAGCTTTCTCATCCAAACACAATGATCTTGTAATTTTCTAATAGGATTTTTCTAAGTGGCCTAACTTGTTAAATTAGGGTGAATTTTAGGTATAGCGAGTGAAAATTTTATGTGGGATTAGAAAGATGATGAGAGAATAAGACAAAAAGACCTTGACTTATTTCCTTGTAAATACTATGACATTAAGGTTTTATAAAGAAACAACAATAACCATCTATCATTTTGTTGTCTTCCAATTAAAAAGTAAAACAGAAAGGAAAAAAAAGTAATTTTAGCGACTTGCCACTCAAATTCAATGATTAAAAAAAACTTAAAAGTATGAAATTCGAATGATTTGAAAACAAAATTATTGTGAATGAAAAAAACAACAAAAAATAAAGGATTTGAAATTATTAGAGCCCATCATGATTAAGAGTTTAATAGCAACAATAAGGCTAGTACTAAATGGGAGAATGAAGGAGATCGATGGTGTAAGAGAGAGAAGATAAGAGATTTGTAACGAGAGAGAAAAAGAGAAAAAGAAGAAGGGAATGAGAGAATTCGAGTTTGTGATGATGGCCTCTGTGGTCGTTGATGTGTGTTGGTGACAAATGGAGATAGAGGTTTTTAAGGATAAAATAGAGTTGAGATGATGAATAGTAATAGTTAAAGTGGCTAGTAGAGGAATACACACACACACACACACATATATATATATATATATAAACAATAGTAAAATTGAAGCGAAAGATAATAGAAAAATGAATTTATTATAAAATAAAATAAATACAAGAGATAACAACTCTAAATAATTATCTCAATCTCTACAAAATACTTATACACCAACTAATGAACAATCAATGCAATTTATAGGCTTCAAAATTAGGAAGAGAATTAAAATGGACTATAAAAAATTAAAAGTATATAAATTATTGAATCAATTATAACACTTTTCTAATTTATCATATTGAATGGTGAATTGAATCATATTAAAATTATGAGTAGTGAGGATATGAAAAGCATATGAACATTCATATGGACATTTATTATTTTATAAAACTCCTCCTTAAATATCTATCATACAAGAAACATGTCTCGTTAAAACCTTACTAAAAAAAACTCGATGGAAAAAAATTTCTAATGAAGGAAAAAGAGTACAATATTTCTTGTACATACTAATCCTTATATTGAGCTCCTTCGTTAAAAACATTATTTAAGATTTCTAAGATGATGCGTTCCAATCTTGTGAATCATCTTCTCAAATATTATGATAGGTAATGTCCGAATGAATGATCTACTAGATTGTCACTTGATTGAATTTATTGAACATTAATAGCATCATTCTGTTAAAGATCATATATGAAAAATAATTTTGATGATATATATTTCGTTCTATCACATTTGATACATTCTTCTTTTAATTGAGCTATACAAACGGTATTATCTTTATACAATATTGTTGGAACTTCCTTACTAGTGGATAAACCTCATGTCTCTAAAATATGATGGGTCACCGATCTTAACAAAATACATTATTGACTTGCCTCATAAATTGTTAGTATTTTTATATGGTTTGAAGATATGACATTATAGTTTGCTTCATAGAATGTCATGGCATAGTTGTATCTCCATATGTAAATACATAACTAGTTTGTGATTGAGCTTTATGTGGATCAAATAAATAAGTCTGTATTTGAATAACCAATTAATCTTATATTTAATTTATTAAAGTAATATAAGCCCATATTAATTGTTCCTCAAAGATAATATAGTATATGTTTAATTCCATTCTATTATTTTCGTGTTGGAGCGAACTATATCTTCCTAATAAATTTATAAAAAATGTTATATCAAGTCCAATATTATTAGCATGATACATTAATGTATCGATAGCACAAGATATGGTACTTCAAAACCAAGTAGTTTTTTGTTATCTTCTCGAGATTGAAAATGATCCTTTTGGATATGAAGTAAACAAACTATCATTGGACTAGTCAATGGATGAGCTTTATATATAATTATTATAGGAATTTTTCTATATAATTGAATGATGAATAAAAATCTTATTTTCTAAGTGCTCGAACCGTAAGTCGAGATATAATTTTTTTTCCCAAGGTATTCACATCAAATTTTCTTTTTAGATAACTTATGGCACTTAGAGTCTCTTCGAAGTTTCAATAATATTTAAGTCATCAACATATATAACAAACTCCTTTTTGAATAAAAATACATAAACAAATAGGGTTATTTTTATAATTTTTTTAATAAATAATCATTGAAGCAAATATATCACATGCATAAAGGTCGAGTAACAAAAAGTGGATATTAAAAAATAAAAAAAATAAATATAAAAAGTATAGTATAAATTGAATTTCTAAAAACTAAAATAATAAAAAAATACTAAAATAATTATTATAGAGATCTCCATAATTTAATTGAATATATTTCTTAGAAATGTGCATTACATACTTCAAACATCTTAAGTCCTTATAGGACTTTTATATAAATATCATTTTAAGTGAATAAATAAACTTTGATTACATCTATTAAATACATGCATATGAAGTTTTTTTGTACATCTTGTCATGTTAACAAGATAGAAAAATATAATTGCATCAATTATAGGAGAATATATCCCCTCATAATCAATGTCGGGTTTCTATAAAAACTCTTGTGTTACAAGTTTTGCTCGCATCTTACAATCTCATCTTTCTTATTTTGTTTTTGCATAACTACCTATTTTTATTCCACTAGTTGAATATCTTCAAGTGTTTTGACTACGGATTAAAAAACTACTAATTTATGCAAGTGAGAGATTATTAGTGTTGGTGTTTTAGATCCAACTTTATTTGGATATGTTTGACTTATTGTAATATTGTATTATTATTTTACTAATAAAAAAAATTTTCTATTAATTTTTATTGTTTTTATTTATTTATTAAAATTATATAGAAGTTCATATGATATACATTGTATTAATGATTGATCGAAAGATGTGAAACAAATATTAGTGCACTTAAATGATATCATTAAATATCCTAAGTTATAGCATTGTCAAGAATAGACATTGACTATATGCGGTTAGACTTATGATTGCTATGCTTATGTTATAAGATAGTAGTAGGAGATCTCACACCTATTGGCATGGTGATACCAAAGCAAGCACTTAGGTGATTTATGTT